AAAAAGAAAATGGAGCAGACAATGTATTTGAAGCAGTAATGGCCAAGAATTTTCCAAAATTAATGACAGATGCCAAACCACAGATCCAGGAATTTCAAAGAACACCTAGTGGGATAAATATTTTAAAATTTACACTTAGATATATTATATTCAAATTGAAGAAAACCAAGGGCAAATAGAAAATCTTGGAAAAAGAGAAAGAAAATACCTTACCTATAGAAGTAAAAGGAAATAATTACAGTGGTCTTCTCATTAGAAACCATCTCAGCAAGAAGTGAATAGGATGAAATAAAGTGTTAAGAGAAAAGTTATCAACATTGTAGATATTAATTCAACAAAATCAATAACTTTAAATGGTAATCATCTAAATATAGCAATTAGAAGAAGATTGTCAAAAAAGAAGATTCTACAATGCAAAAACATTGCCTAGAGAGAAATTTTAAACATTAGGGGATTCCAGGATAGAATGCAGACTGTAACCAAAGAATCTAACTGTATTTCAAATGTGTGAGACAGCCTCACTGAAGGAGGTGGGAGAAAAAAGTGCTGACCTAAGTAACTTCATAAATGAGTGTAGTCTGTAAAGCTAAAGGCAAAGAAACTGCACATTAGCACTGAACTGGCATTGATAGAGTTGTTTCCATTGATGGTATGGTTAACAATTCTGATAGCATTATACATGGTTACCGGATGTGAACAATTAATAAATGGGTGGCAGATGGCAGGTGCCAGGTTCCTCACTGTTGGAGTGGGAATTTACAGATAAGGAAGGGGAGAGGGCTAGAATGATCCATATGGTAACAGGTGAAGTAATATAGGGTTAGATAGTTACATCTGGAATTACTGACAGATATGTATAGATATATAAATGGGTTCGTATACATGCATATATTTCCTTGCTGAATAGCTGAGAGGGCCTAAAAGCAAAACCCTATATTAGCAATGAGTACACCTAGCACCAAGATCTTGGTTTCCAGTACCATTCTCCAATAGAAGGAGCAAGGGCTCTTTGGAGAAATGGCTTATTCCAGGACTGGGGTAGAAAACATACACGGTGAGCCTGGGGCATTTGTTAATAACAGAAAGTGCTTGAAAAACAGAAAGTTCACATAATGGGGGTGTGCAAAGAAATACAGGAAGTAACTGAAAGAGCTCTGAATGGCCAAAGCTAGAACCATTTGAGCAACAAAATGAAGTAATACTGGGTTATAAACCCAAGTATAAAATAAATATCTTTTGTGCTGATATGAATAAATGATTGTAAGTGAATGAATGAATGAATGAATGAAGAAACAACTCTCCCATGCAAGAAATTCCAAATAGTTTATGTAGTCTCCCCTAAAGGAGGTGGATTGTAACTCCCAATTCCTTGAGTGTAGGACACACATAAGGACTTCTTTCCAAAGCATACAATATTGAAAATAGGAAAAGGGGGGCAATTTTACAGTGGAGAAACCTGGCAAACGCTACCTCCACCAGGTGTTCAAGGTCAACATCAACCTGTGGTACGTCATGTTGATAGTGACGTGGTAAAAAAGGCATGTTACCTCTATGGTCTTCCTCCCCAGAAACCCATAACCCCAGTGTAATCATGAGTAAAACATCAGACAAGTCCCAACTGAGGGAAATTTTACAAAATACCCAATTAGTACTCCTCAAAACTGTTAAGGTCATCAAAATAAGGAAAGTCTAAGAAACTGTCACATTCAAGAGGAGCTTATGGGGACATGACAACTGTATTATAGTAGCGTGGAAGAGACTGGATTCTGAGTAAAACTAAGGAAATTTAAAATATGGATTTTGGTTAATAATAATATGTCAATATTGATTTATTAATTGTAACAAATGTACCATACTAATATAAGTTGTTGATAATAGGGGAAACTGGGTATGAGATATATGGAAACTCTCTGTACTACTTTTACAGTATATCTGTAGATCTAAATCTGTCCTAAAATTAAAAGTTTATTTAAAAATAAATAAATAAACCAATATTTGTTTCTGAGCCATTTACCCAGCGTTGATAGTGGGCCTGGAGTGAAACCCCAATCTGTGTTCCCTTCCCCAATAGTCAGTCAAATGTGGAAAATAGTTTGCTTTTTCTTGGTAGCTGTGGCCACACATCCATCCATCTAAAATTTATTTATTGAGCTTCTTACATGTGTCATATTCTAGGGACATGGGTAAGAAAGATTAGCACCTGCCCTCAGACCTGCTTACAATACAGTCAGGAAAGGGAGACGGATAATGTGTTGGCTGCTGTTACTACTCCCAGACTACTCTTGCTACCACTGTAGGTGTTCTGCTCTGCTCCTCCCAAATATGTTAGGGGAGTCTCCTTCTTTACCCTGCCTCCAAACTCATCCAAGGGAGATTGGCTCTTTTGGTTAACTTTAGATAATATGCTTTTTAAGTGACCATCTTTTTTTAGGCCTCCAAATTTGGTCTCTGTCTTTTATATTAATAATCTTTTTCAAGATGCTTAAAAATTCAGATGATATCCAGTGTTGTACCTAAAAGCCTCCTAGTGAATCCAAAGACAGTGTGGCATATTAGAAAATACATCTTGGTCTCATTGTAAATTTGTTTGGGATGTTCCCCTCACCTTCTTGCATCTATTTGGAGGCTTTAATCTGTTCTCTTTGATTGTCTTCTGATGCTGTTGGAGCCAGGTTCTGTTGGTTCATTTATTAATCAACTTAGCACATGCCCACTTCAGGGCTTTTGCACTTGCTCTTTCCCTGCTTGTAAAGCTCTTTTCACAGATTCCCTTTATTTAGTCTTTAAATTTCACTCACCAGAGATGCCTTTATGAGGACTCTATTTAAATATAGCTCTCTCTCCCCAAGCCCATCATTCTCTCTCATGACTTTGCTTATTTATTTCGTAACACTTTTCTCTACCTGGCTTTTGTTATATATTTATTTGTTTATTGTCTTTCTCTTCTAGAAATTATCACAAGGGCAAGAACTTTATCTTTTTTGTTTAGTGTGCTATTCCCAGCATCTAGAACAGTCTAGAACATAGCAAGCACTTAGTAAATATTTGTTGAATGAATGCATACATGACAAGTATGTCTCCATTTCTCCCAACTGGGCCTACCTGCAGACCTAAAGAAGAGCAGCCTTCCAATGCCCTGTTCTGATATGTCAGAATTCCTGTGGCATTCTACAGATTGCAACCTTACCTAGGTCTTTGCTCCATTCATATTTGTATAACACTTGACAGTTTTCTGAGTGCTTTCATATAGATTGTCTCTTCTGATTCCACTATGAATCATAGCCAGCGAAAATTTTCAGATCTAACTTACAGATGGAAGAGACTAGGAGATGGAATTTGCAAAGTAAATTTCGGAGCCCAGAAGGCTCGTGGGTTCGATTCTGGTCAAGGGCATGTACCTCCGTTGCAGGCACCAGCCACAGTCAGGATGCGTGCAGGAGGCCACCAATCAGTGCGTCTCTCTCACATTGTAGTTTCTCCTCCCCCCACTCCCCCACTCTCTGTAAGAAATCAGTGGAAAAAATACCCTCTAATGAGGATAAACAGAACAGAGTAAAACAAAATTTTCAGAGCCAGATCTGCTGACTTCTAGTTCATCAAATGATTGCCCAGATTATGTTTCATCTCCACTTGCGGATAGAATGTATATGGTTTTGAGGGCAAGGGTTCCAATTACTTGTTTTTATATTTTTCATGGTGCCTTACACGTAGTGCACTTACTAAAGGTGTATCAATTGGAACCTTTCAATTCACAGAAGAGTCGTGGATGTATCTTTTCCAGTTGCAGCTAGAGGGTAAAATTTTGGCCACTTTTTCCTTCCATTTTCATTAACCACTTCTTTGATAGACCTTGAGAGAATGTCAGAGACTTCCCTTACCTGTGGATCCACAGATTCAGTGGGCTGGGACCGTAAATTTGCATAGGAACCTTGTTGATACTCAGATTCAGGTTCAGTTGGTCCAGCGTAGGGCCTGAGAAGTCTGCATTTTTAACAAGCTCCCTGGTGGTACCCCTGCTGTTGACCTGGGGTCCACACTTTGAGTGTTTCGGGAGTAGGTAACCACATGCAAGACGATCTCTGTTTGGCTGTCTGACTGTGTGACCCTAGGTAAGTTTCATGGAGATACTGTAGCATATTGGGTAAGCTGTATTGCTTTGGTTAAACTTCTACCTCCTGTGCTTACTACGTAACCTCAAGCAAGTTACTTGACTTTTTGTGCCTCAATGTCCTCTTTAAAAAATGGGGGATCATATTAGCACTTAACTTTTAAGGCTGTCATGATAATTGACTGGGTCAGTACTTTTAGAGCACCTAGGAAAGTGCACAGTGCATCGCCCTCAGTGAATCTTAACTTTATTATTGTTTGTCTTCTTGTGTTACTCTGTGAAACTACATCAATAGAAGATATATTTGAGAGACAGGAAGTTGTTTAAAATACTTGAAGTTATGAAAGAGCATGGTGCCTTTCATGAAAGTCCTGATCTGGTTGGGAGACAGTGCCTTTGTAACAAGCAAGGCAGTGGAAATCGGCTAATGGTGATTTGTCTTGTGTTGGCACAGCTGTTCCAAGCACTTTCTATCAAGCATAAGGAAATGAGGGAAAATGAGGTGGCAGTCCAGTTTTGTAGTAAAGTGTTATATGATGGTAAGCACAGGGAATAAAATTGTTTTATTCATCTCAGTTATGCATTAAATAAACCAGCTTGATTTTAATCGGTGATATGGAAATATAGAGGCAAGAGCCCCGGGGTTTCCTGGGAATCCATTTGGTTGCTTAATTTAATTCATTTTATCCTAAGGAGAAGAAAAAGTATGGAAAGGATTATTTTAAAGAGATACTATTTATTTATTTATTTTAGTTTTTTAACTAATTCATGAAAAATAAAGCTCTGTTCCTCAGGAAAAAAAAATTGTTCACAACTCATTTCTCCCACTGACTCAAAAGTGTGAAAAATAAGGTTTTAAATTAACATGCAATGTTTCTTCCTTTTGTTTTAGGATCCGATTTTATTAAGACTTCTACTGGAAAAGAAACAGTAAATGCCACCTTCCCCGTAGCTATAGTGATGCTACGGGCTATTAGAGACTTCTTCTGGAAAACTGGAAACAAGGTATATTATTCCAGCACGTCTTTCTCTGGAGTAAAGATAATGTTATTTGTAATACAAGTTACAGCCTCGATAACTGTCTTCATATGCAGAAGGTGCGAATGAGTTATACCCTTATTAAGATAAATGTTTAATTTACTTTTCATCACAAAAGAACACATTCATGGAGGAAAATGCGCGATTAACAGAAAGTGAGTGTGAGTGTGGGAGTAAGTACATGTGAGCAAGACGTAAACTTACTTTATGTTCTTTTCTTCACCGAAGACAATTTTATCACTGACAAGAAAGTCCTAAATGGGTTCTTTAATGAACTAATTCTGCTGCAACACAGAGGCTTTCTGGTAAGGCATTGGCCACCGAAAACAGGTTAATGCAAAAATTAAACTTCCTTGAGGAACGGAAAGAATTGCAGAGTAACATTTATTGAATGATAAGCTGTGGTGGTGATATGAAAAGTATGCAATATAATGGGAAATAATCTTTTCCTGTCATTATTGAAGGACACACATAAATTGGTTTTTCTGTTGGGAAACCCCCGGTCCAGAAAAACTTATTACTTTTAATAATATGAGGTGAAGAGAAAATTCTTGAGGAGATGAACTTATTAAACAAAATAATGAAATGCTGCGAAACAGCAGGGAAAAGGTAGCTAGACGTTATATAGCTCTTGAATTAAATATCCATTTTTGCGTTTTATGGCAGTTAGATGTGCTCTTTGGAAGACTGTTAAGCTGAGGAGGGTATAGGCTAGCTTTTGTCAGCTTTTCGAAAAATAATACATATTTTTTGAAACATGAAGTTAAAAGAAAAAATGTGTATGAGGTGTTTTTTAAAATGAGTTTGCATTTTCCTTTTCACTTCAAGTTGCTTGTTTAGTTGCAAATTATCTCAAAGGATTTTTTTTACATCATTGGAGAGAAAGGTAATTTTTTCTTTTTTTAATGAGATTTTGCCTTCCTCAAAACACATCTTTTAAAACCAATCTCTTGATTTCTGCCGAATAGAAACCCCTCAAAAAATACCTTTAATCCTTTGCCAACTGCATGTGATGACTTTATATGTGACTGTAGCTTCTGCTTATTTTGGAATCGGAGACCTTTTGGAGAATGTACTGTGTTTGAGAGGAAATGAACTCCTTCCAGAATTTTCTCCTTCAGAATAACTTCATATCTTATAAAAGTACAAAATAGGTTAAGTGCCTACTGTCACCTACATGTGAAATTGACCCAACTGGAATATCCTCTACTTTGTAGAGAATCCAAATTTTTAAAAAATTAAGTAAATCTATAAAAAAAAAATGAGAGAATTCTATCTTTGCCCCCCTTCCCCAGTTGAGTGAGTGGACCCACCACTTGTAAGACCAGCACTTCTTATTGTCAGCCCAAGAACATCCAAGTAGTTGTGAAGCTTTCTCTGCTCATAGAGGCCCTGGGCCCTGGGCCCTGCAGTTGTGTGTCAGGGGGAGTCCTCAGGCATGTCCACATTTCATAAGCTCCATAGTCCCAACTAAAACTCTCCACTGGGAACCCAGTCCTGTTTTAGTCTCAACAAACGTTTATTGAGTCGTTAACTGTGTACCATGTTAACCTATATTATATGTAAGGGAAACAAAAATGAACAAGCCTCTTCCCAGGAGATTCCTTAGACAACAAGCAAAGAATTTCAATAAAAGTTTTAGATGCTCTATGTTCTAGACTGGAGTGGAGAGCGAGGATTGTTTTGCTGCCTTTCAACACTTTCTTTTTGATTTGTGTTGACCCTTTCCTCAGCTAGTAAACAAATTTCACCCCAATTTCATTAAGATACGGACAGGTACAAGTCAAACTGTATTCATGTTAATCACATCTGATGTCACACAGTGAGGCACTGTATGCGTGTGTTGCAAATCACGTTCATCCTTTCAGGTTATTGACAAGTTGCCCGGGCAGCCCTTAGACTATAAAGTTCCTACATCATTGATTTAAGGGGCGTTTTAAAATGCGATCAGCTGCCTTCCAGACCGTGATTAGTGCCACTCCTGAGAAGCAGAGGTTTAATATTTCATAACCGATTTCATTGCAGATTTATGTTTTCCATATTCTCTGCCTTAAAAAAAGTACAGACTTAGGCTAGAACCTGTCTTTGGAAGCATTGCCGAACAGACTTGCTGACACAACTGAATTATATAGAAAAATCTATATGCAGCACTGCCTAATTGATAGAAGTGCTCCTGTGATTAATATGTATGCTAATATCAGCTACTTGATTTTTTTTGCCTCTTCTCAATAAATAACCTCATCCCACTTATTCCCCCCCCCACCTCCCACTCTCCCTAGCTCCCCTCACTTTTACGGAGTCCCTCAGGTTCCAGAGCAATAGGCAGATGTGGTTAGAATCTCTCTACAGCTGCTGCTTAGCTGTGTGACGTTGTGTGATTGAAGCAGGGGAGCAAGTTGGGAAACCTTCACTGACACCCTTGTGAGAAATGATGAGGGTCTAAACTAAAACAATGGAAGTGAGAGTGGGCAGATAGGACAGTGTGAGCAGGCGGCATATAGAAGTAAAGAAGGTACGATTGGTAGGACTTGGCTGTTGATCGATTGGGTGTGGAAACTGGTTTCTAGCTTGGGTTGATAATGGGACCATTCAGTTTTTATTGTCTCCCTTCTCTAGCATTCTGTTAGCAGTGGCCCCCTATGAAACCGGCTCTGAGTGGTCCTGTGAGCTTTAGTACTTGGGCCGTGGGGTGCTTTCTTGATTGCTCCCACCTATAGAGTCTCTGCTGTACTGGATAGTCAAGATCTTGAGACAAGTGAATTCAGATAAGCAGGTTTCACTGTGTATAGAACACTTACCCTTTTCTAATGGACTCAGGGCCATCATTTGTAAACGTCAGATATTGGCTGAATTGTGCTGTTTTATGATCACCTTCAAAGCCTAAAGAGGTGCGAAGAGCCCCTACCCTGTCTTTCTACTGTGCTATTTAACTGGTCTGGCTGCTTTATTACTCTGTCTACTTATAACTTTGGGGAAAAAGTCGCTGCAGTTAAGCTGATTAAAACAACTGCCATCTCTCCTTGCTGATGTTTGTTGCCGAATTGGTTAGTGTGACCTCGCTGGTTTGCTCCTCTTGTTTTAAATACATGTATGTGTCTTTTGCACCTCAAGATGAAGGGCTGAGAGGTGTCTCTCCAGGCTTACTTGTAGAAATGTAGAATGAATGGGCTTTTGTGATATGTTTTCCTATTTAATGACACTTTTTTGTTTATCCCAGGTTCACAGCTATAGTCTAGGTGGTTGAGGTTTATGACTTTCCAGTAAGTGAAATGTTAATGAGGGTTATTAACTCTCATTAGTGTCTCCTCAGAAGCAGTGACATTTTACTCATTAGTCTTGGGAAAGTCATTTTGTAGTGTGAATGGGTGTGAATCAGTGATCTAAGCCCCTGCTGGGTGAGCTGAAATAGACTAAAAAAAGAGAGCCAGAGAATGGAGACCTGTATTAATGCAGTACGATTTTAAAAAGTAATCCAGTAGCTATAAACCTCGTCTTTCCCACCTTCCCCTGTAGGTAGGCTTTAAGCCAGCAGGAGGCATCCGCACTGCAAAGGATTCCCTCGCTTGGCTCTCTCTCATAAAGGAGGAGCTAGGAGATGAGTGGCTGACGCCAGAGCTCTTTCGGATAGGTGCCAGCGCTCTGCTTTCTGACATCGAGAGGCAGGTGAGTAGTAACCCATTGGCCTTGGAACAAACTGACTAGCAATGAAAAGTTGCCTATAGGGAAGTGAGAACTAGAGATGAAAACTCACCTGACTTATGTCATCATACACAAACCTCTGCCTTCTTCCAAGCAAACCAGCCCCTGAAGTAGGCTGGAGGGAGATTTGGCTGAAGTGCATAATAGTGGGGCTTTTTAATGGAGTGTTAATTAAAATTATTAATTATTGTATAATAGTATAATTATTAATTGATATGCATAATAATATAATAATTATTAATTAACAAAACTGCTTTTCCTCACAGATTTATCATCACGTGACTGGAAGATACGCAGCTTATCATGATCTTCCAATGTGTTAAATCCGCAACGAATGCCAGAAAAGTGTTTTTACAACGTTTAAAAATTATTTTTCAACATAATTACTAAAATTGCTTAATTAAGAAGTGGGGGAATACGTAAATTACTTTTTTCCCTTAAAATTTCTGTTAAACTTAATTCAAAGAATGAAAGAAAAATACCAACTAATCCACATGTGGTACTCATTTCAGGCACATCTGAAATGCTCTTAATGGCTAGATCTGCACTGATAATTTTGTGAAAGTTTTCTCTTAAAAACTCTTAGTACCATGTTAATGATAGCTTTGACAACATTAAATTCTAAGGAGAAAAAAAAGTTAAAGTGCCCAAGAAACGTGCTCTAGCAAAAGAATCTGGCGTCCCTGACCCACTGCTGTGCTCTCACCACTTCAGGAGTCATGGGCTTGGCATTAACTTCCTGCCATGAAAATCTACCTTTAATTTTTGCAGTGGATATGCTCTTTTATTAATTGTTTTGTTAATAAAATGTCATTGTTATATGGAACTATGGATATCATTGAATTTTTTTTAAATAAAAAAATTCCTGTAGTTTATTTTTTTAACTTTAAATTGCCACAGTACACATTGAAAAATTAATCCATGAAACATATAAAGAGGTTTTATCAATAACTTCCTGAATTCTGAATTTCTGTGGTAGAGTCCTTGGGTACTTATCTCAAATAAAACACCCCCAGTACATTGATAATGAATACCACTTACATCTATATTCTGAAACTTTTAAGATTTTCTGGTATAGCAAATGGGGTAAAATAGCAGACACTAACATAGCACTTAATAAGTGCTAAACTTTTAACATATAGCAATTTATTTAATCCTTGCTTCATCTCTATAACAGTTAGGTAAGTACATTAAGGTTTTAAATGCTTACAACAATGAATACTGATATTATCATTTTCTTACACAGATGAGGGACTGAGGCACAGAGAGCTTAAGTAACTTGCCAAAGGTCGCAGAGCTTAAAGTTAACAGCTGAGAATCAAGCCCAGGCAGACAGTCTGGCTCCCGAACCTATGCAGTCACTCCAGTGTGTAACTGCCCCTCAGCGCACACAGGCACAGCTCACTGTCAGCTGTGCGGAATGATGGTCTCTGTTGTAGTCTACTGGTTCCTTTGCCCGCTGAGGTCCCTCCCACCTTTACACCTCTGCCTATTTTGCTTGCTAGCACCTTTACCATATTATAGAATCTTTTTTTTTTTTCTTAAATGGTGATTTTTATGTAGTCTTTTCCTGCCCGAATGAATCTCCAGCTACTCATAAATGAGAAACCCTGGACTGGGAGTCAGTTATAGTTGCATCTCTCATCCGCCGGATTCTGGCCCAGCCTCTTCCTCTTTCTAGCTTTGTGACCTTGGTCCAGTCAGTTCACATCTCTGGACCTCAGATTCTTCTTCTGTAAAATAAAAGGGTTGAGGCAGGTGATATCAAGGTGCTTTCAGCCCTAAAATGACAACACCCTAAGGATAATTATAACAAAGCCAAGAAAATGTTTTATGGCTATAAAGAGAAAAAGTTTATTGTAGCAATCCAAATTAGAATTTGCCTCTCAGGAGTCAATTAGGCAAGTCCCTCAAAGCACCTAACTGTAAATGATATGACTAAAATAAGAAAGGAAAAGTAATCCCATTTCCCCCCAACACCTCAGCAGAAAGCTGGATTTTGACTTATGCCTTTGGATATGGTCAGTGGCTCTCAATGCCACATCCACCTTCATAACAGTCTGGCCCAGGTGCCCCCCAGCACAATGGTCAGTCACCTTTGGAGAAGAAACTTTGCAGAAAATAATTACATTCTATCACCTTTGAAGCTATTCCAATTTCACAGGGGTTTCTGTTTTCCTCCCATTAAACCCAGCTGGTCATCTTAGTTGATCAAGTGAACAGGCGTCATTATTTTCAATTCTGATTTATATGAGACAGCCACGGAAATTGACCTCTACGGACGATTATAGATTCACATAGGAAATTAAGACTGGTGAGTCCCTCAAACCTATCAGAGGCTGATGAGCATGGCCTGATGTGAAGGTAAATAATCTTGTATTTGGGAAGTGGACAGTTTATTCCAAGGACTGTTGGCCTCTTCATCAACAATGTCTGCACCTTACCTGGCTCTTGAAATCAAATGTAACACAGAAGACTTTAATAGGAAGACCCCAGTAAATGCTGATTGCTATGAAAACACAAGAGGAAGAGGTCATTCCTGAAGTGACTGATTTACCACAAGCAGATGTCTACTTGAGAACACAGGGAGCAGATGCTTTATGCAGTCAGAAAGTGAGTGTTGCTGTGTTGTGTTTAATGCTTCTAAGTTAGTAAAAGCAACCTCCCCGAAAATTGTCACAAATGTTCAATAAAGCTTATTAAGTTTTAAAGTTATTTTAAAACAACCAGTCATAGGGGCTTAATGTGCCTTTAGGGACTATCTAGCTTCACCCATCCTTTTTTACATGGGAAGGAAAACTCAAAGTGGGAAGTCACTTATGCAAGGTGACAGAGGAAGTCAGAGCTGTGCCCAGAACCTAGATACACATCACTCCCTGAAATATTCCACAAGACATAGCCAGGGCTTTGGGATTTAACATTTCTTAATTGTTTATAAATCCTGCCGTATCTAATATGTTTGTCAGCCTGTGAACTTCAGACTTTCGAAAAACTCACTTTTGCCTCTAGGAGTCTTCTAAATGGTGTTTTGCAGAAGACGAACCATCTAAATCTAGTCCAACTGATAGTGTGGTTAATTTCATCTCTTAGACTTTCAGAATTTTTGGTGACCTCAAGAACTGATTTTTTTTTTAAGGAAGTTCAATGTTTTTTGTTGTTTTTTTTAAAGATAAAAAACAGATGGGGGGGGTTGTTTGGATTCTAGAATGTCTACAAATGGAGAGAAAATGACTATTGTAATCTCAAGACAATTTCATAATTACAGTATTGTTCCCTCATTGTGGATTATTTCAGCACTAATGGGAAGTTTAGGCAAATTAGTTTGTATGGAAAACAGCATCTGAGGAGACTTATGCAAAGCGGGAACCATTTCAAATATCTACCTGGAAGTGCATCCTCACAAGAACATGGTACAGTATCTGTCCTGATGGCGCAGGGCAGTTTGCTGTGTCATACATCTGTGTCTTACGCCCAGTCTAGAAAAACCAAGTCAGTTTCTTTGGAAAAATCAGCTTGCACTTCTCATACAGAGGGAGACCAGTATTCAACTTGATCTTTTTTTTTTACACAACATAAATAGAGCCAGAGTGCAGAAATGGAAAGAAGAAAAAATTCCATTAGATTGTACTTTCTAAGGAAATGAAATGTTATACCTGCCCATTTGGACACTGAAAAAGGTACGGGGTGAAATCAATTTCTCCAGTTGTTTTCCTGATCATGCGCAAGAGTCTTGCCTCCCAAAGGAACATATCTGTTTTATAACCACCACCAAAATGATCCTTTCCAGAAATGACCACAGGTAACATCTGGCTGATATATAAAATATGTAGTAAAAATAATCATTTTTAATTAACTAAAACCTGCTCGGGAGAGAGAGTCAGAGGAATAGCCATCTGGTCAATTCTTCTTTAATAGGACAAATGAGGATCAGGATGTTTAATGCAGTATATGTGAAATACTTAGTGACCTTACAATGAACTAAAACTTTTTTAGGAAGAACAGGGGTGAGGAGGAATCAGAATATCTAGAGAGAACAGTCATAAAGGTTGATTTTTTGTTTCTAGAAGTGCATCTTGTACTGTAAAACGTAGGTAGAGGAGAAGCAGCCTAGGTCTTGTGGCATTATCTTCTATGGTTCAGTGACATATGTGTTTTAATTCATTTGAACAATAAAATGAGGTTATACTTTATTCTGGAGCTTCACAAGGATGATGAAGAGTTTTCAAAAGTCTCTATTAAATAAAGGTAAAAAGACCTGGGAGGAGATTGAAGGGTACTTGGTGTCTAATGGTCCTGGGAAAAGGTACTTCTAAATTAGAACTTAGTAACCAAGAGTCCTGTATTTCCTCTGCAGAAGAAGAAATGAGTTTATGCTACATGTGAAGTCAGGTTAGTTCTAGGGAAAGATCCCTTAAATACCCTGAAATGTGTTGTTAAGAAGGTACATTTGGCCCGGCCGGGCGCGGCTCAGTGGTTGAGCGTCGACCTTGGATCCAGGCGATCAGGGTTCGATTCCCAGTCGGGCCACATGCCTGGGTTGCGGGCTCGATCCCCAGTCGAGGTAGCCGATCAGTAACTCTCTCATCATTGATGTTTCTATCTCTCTCCCTCTCCTTTCCTTTCTCTGGAATCAATAAAGATACATTTTTAAAAAAAGAAGGTACATTTGCACCGTAGCCGGTCTGGCTCAGTGGTTAGAGCATCGGCCCATGGACTGAAGGGTCCTGGTTCAATTCCAGCCAAGGGCACGGCCTCCATTGCAGGTTCGATCCCTGGCTTTGGGTGCATGGGGGAGGCAACCAACCGATGTATCCCTCTCACATCTCTCTCTCTCCCCCCTTCCACTCTCCCTGAAAAGCAATGGAAAAAATATCCCAGGTGAGGATTAGAGAGTGGTTAGTTGTGCTGCCAAAGACAGCAGTTTCCTAACTACTTTCCCAAACTAGTATATGTCAGAAATCCGGGAGAGTTTATAAAACACAGAATTCCGGACCCACCCAATTTCCAATTCAGTAAATCAGCTATGGGGCCCCAGAATTTGCATTTCCGAGAGGTTCCCAGGTGATGTTAATGCTCTGACCCGGGAACCACACTTTGAGAACCACTGACTAGAACACTCGACGAGAAAGCCTGTACTCAACACCTAGATTTCAAAGTAAAGGCATCTTTTAGTAGTAAAACCCACCAGCTGCAGTACCTCTTATCATGAGACTCCAGGATAAATGTGTATATTTTGTTGCTTTTCCTAGTCAAGAACAAGAGACAGAACAATGGAAGGGACATTATCCCTCAATCCCTTCACAGTAGGCAGTGAACCCGATTACACTCCGGTCTTAACAGCAAGCTTCAGAGCCTAGAATAAACATTTTAGATGAGGTTGGAATCAGTATCCACACACTCTTCCGAGGGATTTCAGCAAGCTGAGAAAGTAAGATTCAGCTGTATGTGATTTTTACCTATTGGAATGCCTTAACTTTTGGTGATTCCAGTATAATTGCACTTAAAACCAAGACCTATTTTAACAGAGCCCGTTCTTTAACGTGTTTGAAATAGATAAAATATTCTGGGGAAAGGACATTTCACAGATACTTGGCTTCTTAATTTGAAGCTACTGTGTATGTGACATTCAGGCTGAGGTGGGGGAGTGTGCGGGGGGTAACGAAAGCATTAGATCGTTGTTCTTTAAATTTCTTTTTTTTGCTTTTTAAGTGTGTGTTCTGCCAGATTATACATAGGCAGACATAATTCTTAGTTGCAAATAGCAGAACTCCCCTCTACCTAGTTTCAAATTTCTTTTGAAAGAGTATTGAGTATCTTACAGAATCCCCGGGCACAGAGGCAGCCCCTAGGAATAACGCCCAGACCCCTCTTCAGA